AACTGCCTCGAGGGTGCTTGACCATTTTAACACAACGTGGTGCGATCATCCCCCTTGCGCGGAGTGAGGATTGTCCACCCCGCACAACACGATCTACTCGACCACCAAACGGAGGAAAAAAAAAAAAACACGGTAACTTGGTTGCCGAGTTCACGAAGTGAATGGGCTTGTTTTACAACGTCGTTGCCAAGCGACGAAAACCCAACCCCGATGGGGGGGCACCGAGGGGGGGACATGAGGGGAGCGAACTATTAGAGGGAGAGAGATAGAGAGACTCTTGGCAGGCACCAAGGTAGACACCACCATTTTCGATAGAATGAACACCTCCCTCTCTCCCAAAGCGGACCAGAATTTGAATTGCTTGTTTTGTATCACATTTCCCTGGAAACATCGGCGTCCTCCCCCCGGTGTCTGTTCTGCCCTCCATTGCATATCGTGCTCTGTTTTGTGTTCCCTCTCGGACGTGGAGCTGTTCCAAACTCAACCCCCCTGACGTACTAATTCTCGATAAAGACCCCCCATGCCGACTTCACAGATACCCCCGCAATTGTAGGGATACGAGGTCTATGGTCTAGCAACTACGGTGTCCGACACCCCCCTCCCGCCTTGCTAAGCTAAGGCCTTCAAAACATGATGACACCCCCCTCCCACCTCCCCTGCCACGCTCTCTCCCACTAGGTGCCGAGCTACAAGTTTATCCCCCTGACGTACCAGATCTCGAGCAGGGTGGGGTCGGCGGACGACGCGAGGTTCCGCGCCTGCGTGCACGGCCTCATCCGAAGGCTCTGCCTCGAGCACCCACACCATTCCCTCCTGCAGCTACTGGCCCTGGCCAACGGGGAGAACGTCAGCGGCGGGGGGGCCACGCAGGCGAGAGTAATATTTTTGTGGGAGGGTGGACTCTCGTGTGTGTGCATGCCGTGTACTTGATTGGTTGCGTTTCCTTTGATCGTGGGCAAAATATTTGAAACTATGCACCGCCCCGAACGCTTACCACAATCGTGCCGCACCGCGCCGCTCCGCATCGCGCCGCTCCACTCCGCAGTTCAAGCAGAACGTATCCGCCGAGAAGATCCAGGCGGCGAGGGGGCTCGTGGATGGGCTAAAAAAAGTAGCGCCGCCGCCACCATCGACGGCGGCGGCGGTTGGGGGTGCTGGGCCGGCGGCTTCGCTGTCCAGCATGCCCTCCCTCGTGTCGGCGCTGGAGCGACTGGCGGAGGCGTACATCGACCTGGCCATGGTGGGTGGTACAGCAGTACGCGTGTGCAGCGGCGGCGAAGTCCGCCTCATTTCTTTGTTTTTTTTCAAAGACTTAGAGAGGCATTGTTTTATTTTTGTTTGGGCGATTTGCCGCCAACTTGTGTCTGCTGTGCTTTTCCGCCGGCCATGCTGTTGATGATGAACGCGAGCTCTCTCTCCTGCTTGCTTTTGGCCGCGCGAGGGGGGTCAGCACTTGTTTTGGGATCCACCTATCAGTGTCGTCGACACTTGTTCGCATTTCACTATGATGTCATCTTGTTTGGTATGCTTATTGGCGGGTCGGCCCTGCTTGTTTGCCCGGGTCTCCCACACCCAACCCTCCTTTTTGTTTTTGTTCCGCAGGTAAACACCACCAAGTTCCACACCAAGAAGACGGGCGTGATCACTTTCGCCGAAGCCGTGCCCAAGGGCAAGCCCACGCTAGACCGCTGCCTGCGCGATCGAGGCTCGGGTCTGGCGGCAGGCTCTCGGGGTAGAGGGAGCAGCGAGAGCATCGGCGGTGGGAGAGTTATGCCGGGGGTCGTGACGAGACCCCCGGCAGTGAGGGCGGACGCGGACTATCGGGGAACGCCTACGATAGCGGGCTTCCAGAACTCCTTTTCCATTACGGACAGGTTTAGCTTGTTTCCGTTTTTTTTCGCTTTTGGTATGGTTTAGTTTTGTCGCGTGTTCCTTGTTTTACTTACCTCCGCTGTTACTTTGTGTGCTGTGTCAACGTATGGTATATGTGTGCTGTGTGCGTACAGTAGTGTACGTTTGTTTCTTTCCGGTTTAGTAGCAAGCATCGACCGCTCTAACTTACGCGATGGACCAATGAGAGAACACGCAGATGGATAAGTTTCAGACAAATATCTACCGTTTACGTCTTTTTTTCTCCGCTGGTAGTTTCGTCCTTTGTTGTGTGCGTGACTGTCTGTGCCCCCTCTATCTCTCGCCGCCCTTTCGTGAACACGTTCACACTGACTGCTCGCGGCTAATGATGTGTCTGTGGGTGCCTTCATTCATCATCAGCGGCATTCACCGCCCGAAGATCGTGCACTGCGACGATTCCACGGGGCACCGCTACCGGCAGCTGGTCAAGGGCGCGGATGACATCCGGCAGGACGCGGTCATGGAACAGGCGAGGAGACGGTTGTTTCGATTACATCATTGAATGTTGTTGTTGCCTTCACAGGCGAGGACGGTTTGTCTTGATGCCTTCACCGACCTGCGTCTCATATTTGATCCCACACGAAAAAAGAGTTGTCTGACCTAAGTGTGAAGTGTGGAAGTGTGGACCATTGGTTTCTGTTCCTGGCTTTAATGAGCTCTCACAACGTTTGTTATGCACCATATGACAACCCCCCCCCCCCCCCCCCCCCCCCCCC